ATCTTTGATTAGCTCTGCACAGAAGCTTTAGGAAGAACTGACTATGGTAGATTACAGTCCTACTCTAGGCTGTTTGTTAGGTGTTAGCAGTCTGTCAACCAACCAATCAAGATAAAAATAAACTACAGTGAGCAGATGTATGCACAATGGATAAAATAGTGTTGCTCAGTAGAGTTCACAATTGGAATCCCCTTCCCCTGTATCCAATGTACCTATCAGCATCATCAAGCTGCGGTGTCTAAGGTGTGCAACCACGACCCACCCCTATGCCCAACAAGTATGCTTATGACCAGCCTGCCCTTTATTTACCCTCGCGTGCAACGAGCCTTACGTTTGACTGATCTAGCAGATCAAGAGGCAATTTAAGGACAGCCCCCGAGAGTCCTCAGGAATTCTTTAACGTCGCAATCAGGACGACGATCGCAGCCAGTGGACAGTTCAGACCCCAACCAGAAATGTTTATAGACGGTCTGGGAGCGTCTACGTAGAACTGGTCGGTTCACACACCCCTTCTATCAGCGCAGCAAAGAGCCTCAATGGACAAAGCAGCATGGCCTGCGTGTACTAATACCCATGGGTTGGCATGGTGACCGTGACCCATGCTTCGACCAGGGCCCTTCAGAGGCACCGCCCTCTCCTGCCAGATGCGCCACCGGGAAGAATGTCATCTCTCAAGATAGAGCGCACACGACTCCTTTCAAAAGAGAGGACACTCAAGTTGGACTCACTTCCTCATGGTAAGAAGAGATTGAGAGGGTAGATAAGGAATGGGAACAACGTACCTGGAGATAGCTGCCCCCAACCACAGATTTCTCACCAATTGGGCCGATGTGCATTTCGATGACCGGTCATTAGCCTCGGTACCACCCACAACGCAATGCAGTGCCACCTCAGCCAAAATGCCACGTCAGCATACTCTCATCATCATGCATACACCCGCTGTCGCCACAGCCTTCCAGCGGCCGGCCTCTCCACCTAGGCCCCGCTAATCAACCAGCGCCAAAGTATCCTAACTGCACATGAAGCATCGTCAACGCACCAAGTCACAATGTCGCCGGTGCCAGGTAAGCGGCGATCACCAACCAGCTCTGATACCAAATTGCAAGGAATATGAGTGTGAGCGATATACATAAAACCAAGTTGCGAAATCACACTGCTGTCCAAGTAGTCGTGTCCCAAGCAGAGAGTACAAATGCACTGAGAAAACCATCCATATAGAGCAATACAATGAAGTAATGAGCCAATGTTCAAGCCTGTAGGCCACACCAACACAGTATCCAAAGTCGCTCTGCTCTGTCTGGCGCTCAGCACCCAGCCTACTCTACCCGACTATCCTACCTACAGCTGGTTCACGCAACAGGATCACTTCGACTCACAAAGACCACTGTACATGACTGCCAACACCATCACCGACCTCTCTTCATGTACCAGGTACGTATCTCGTCATCCTCAATCAGACCTTGACTACCCCACACTCGCCTCCTTCCCTGAAGACCACTCAATCGCCCGCATTACCCCCTGGCGCCCAGCAGCCCGGCTATGGCCGCCTGCGCCCCGCTGCCCTGCAGCGCCCCACTTCACCTCTACGCGCCCCGGCAGCGCCCTTGGCAGCAGCGCAGCATCAAGAGAGAGCGCAGCAGCATTTCCGCATTGCCAGCACTGGCCAGAATGCCTGGCCTGGGCTGCCTCACTCCTTTTGTGGAAGTCGCAGCCTCCTGGATGCTGCGTGAGGCCTTCCGGTTGGGTCCCAGACCCTGCGCCCAGGCCCGAGACTACAGTTGAGGGCCTGGGCCCTTTTACAGTTAGGCACGGCCTGAGTCTCTGGACTTGGGCTGTTTGCTGCATCTGTGCAGGGCTCCCAGGCAGGTGCGTTGGCACGACTGCTTTTTCCAAGGCCGAAGGCCTGCTTCCCAATGTATCGGCTCTGCTTTGTGTATGTGTGCGCAGGCGCAACTGTCAAGGCCTGGGCCAACTGTATGACGCAGCAATGTGAGGCTCACGCGTCTACCCAACCAACTGGCGTGCTGCGAGAGCCTGAATACCCGCATATCGAAATGTCGAATTTTGCCTCTGACGAATATTCAGGTGCGCCTTCACTTAGGGCGGGCACCTTGGCCTGCTGGGGGCCTTAGCCCAGAACAATGTGATGTCTGACAGGGCCCCTTGAGGGCTTGTTCCTCACACTTCCTTGAATTGCCTAAAATGCTTTTGGGCTTTCCAAAGTCAAGAAGGAAACTGTAAATGGGGCCTTCGACTTCAGATGAGCGCCCATTGTAATGTCAAAAACCAAATCTTTGGTCTTTGCAAAGGGGCATATTTTATCAGTTTAGCTGTACTTGGTGCAACTTTCAGTCTAGACACTGTGATAATGACTGGGCGTTCAATTTGGGTGAAGACGGTAGTTTTGGCCTTGAGCAGGTTTTCTCCTTGGAGAACCCTTCCCCAACCCGCCTAAGGGAAAGGTTGACCACCCTAGACCATTCTTTTGTTCTTGCTTGGTTTGTTTAAAGGTGGAACGTGATTCTTTGGGTGTCAAAGTCCATCTCGGGAATCCATCCTACCTCAGGCCGTTCTTGGCCTTTTCGCCTCTAGTCCCATCATGGGCTGGTCCCAACCCCTTTTACGCACCCAATGTCACGTTTTTGTACTTGGGATGCAGGTTCCACAGAGGAACACGTCGTATTTGGATCAAGCTAGGGTCTTGGGCTTTCCTTCTGCCCAAGGTCATGCCTTGGGTTATCTGGCCTTGTGTGCCTTCTCTTGGGTGCACAAGGCACCCGCGTTTCCTCTTCTTTTTCTCAGCGCCGCTGTCCGAGACCCAAGGGTTTTGACAAAATGTGTCTGACGTTCTTCATATGGTCTCAAGCAAGATGTGCACAGACAATCAGCTGCATCAGGAAGACATAAGAAAACACGTAAGAAAAACGTAAGAAAACACGTAAGAAACACGTTAGAAAACGCGTACGAAACACATACAACACATTCTTCATATCGTCTCAAGCAAGATGTGCACAAACAATCAGCTGCATCCGGAAGACATAAGAAAACATGTAAGAAAAACGTAAGAAAACACGTAAGAAACATGTTAGAAAACACATAAGAAACACATACAACACACACAGGAGGATAGACATTCCATCACATTTCGCTTTACTGACAGGTCGAGTCAACTCTTCGTGGTCACATAGACATACTTATATGTGACTAACAGTATAAGATTATACTGACTTTTTTTCTCTTCTTTTTTCCTTTGATGGTCCCAAGCTTCTCCCTACCCTTTTCTCTTTTCAGATGTCAGGTTGGATCGATGCACGCAGGTCGTCCATCAGCTTTCCGGATATTGTCGTGAGTGTCCATCAGCATTAGTGCTATGAGTGAAACTCACTAGATCAATGTCGTTAGAGGTTTAATCAACTTTAATGCCGCAGCGTGACCACATTGTCAAAGCACAAAGTAACCTCCATGCTACAGACCTTCTCCTCCACACTACTCAGTCTATGGGCTACATGCAGAGGAAGCCAGATCCTTACCTTGTTATGGATTAGATCGTCCTCCTTCGGGTTATCCAGCTCCCCCTTCTCCTTCTCCTTCTCCTTGCCTTCCTCCTTGTCGTCGTCCTTGAGCACTTCAAATTCTTTTGGCCAGTAACCCTCAGCTGGACGTGGAAGCTTCATCTGTAGTAGGAAGCAGCGCACACGGACAAGAACAAACAAGCAACCAAAGCACAAAGAAGACAACAAAGCACAGACAAAGTTATCCCCAAGTTAAGAAAGCAATAGCTGAGATTGATGAGGAGAAGCTAATCTTGAAAACCTAGACTGGCCGGGCTTACTGAAGCTACAATAATTTTTGGTTCACAGGGAGCTTTGGGAAGTACTCTCCCTGTCGGTGATGTTATGTACTTGCATTCTTATACAGGAGGTATGTTGTGTCTTAGTTTAGGTTTAGGGAATTGGTTTATCATAGAGATGATTTCTGGTCACAAGAAATCCCCATGGTGCGACGAGTGGCATGTACAAGGCCTGATTACATATTCACAGTGGCATGCTGATCGGCGAGTACTAGTGATTCCAACTTCATGTTGCTGAGCTGCAGAGAACGATCCAAACTGAGGCACTTGCTGTACAAGGGAAGACGTTTGTGCGATCTTCCTTACATGCAGTGATGCAACAGCTGAGGGGAATTCAACAAGAAAGCTTCGGTGGACGGTGCGCGGAACAACTGGCCTGGTGGCAGCAAGTACTCTACTGCAACAAGCAGTATACAATTGAAGTCTCCCCTAGGTTCCAATTTGCCTTGGAAGAATGAATAGTGAAGCCTGCCAAAAGTTGGATCGAGAAATCTGTTCAGGCAGCATGTCTGCAGGCTTAGAGGAGCCAAAAGTGTGGTGGGTATCCATGGAATATGTCTGACTTGCCGTTGAAAAAATGGAGCCGGACTGTGGCCCCCCAGAATAGAACGGAGCTGGCACCACAAGGACCTTTTCTTTAGAAAAAATACTTAAAAAAAGGGAAAAAAATGCAAAATGCCAAAAAATAAATTGAAATATTTCAGTAATGTCGCGCTCATAATACTGTCATATTATGGGCGTCGTTCGACACACCTCGGGGACGTGATTCCAAGGATTTCGTCTTCGTTCCACCTGTCCTCGGAGCCGATTTTCGAAACCGAAATGTGAAAACACTCCGAGGACAAATCCTCGGGCTCCGAGGATTTTCCAGCCAAATCGTCCTCGGCTCCAAGGGACCTCGCGAGGTCCCTCGGAGTCCGAGGATCCGCGATAATCGGGGTGTCGTCGGCGAGTCGAAAAGGGAATTTGGTGGTCGGAGGTGGTCCAGTGCTGGTCCTCCGTGTTGAAGACGGACATCGCGAGGCGCCAACGTCCAAAACGTCCACGAACGGCCTCGTCTTTTTACCGTTGTCGGGGATTGGCGGTACATCCCTGTCGGTTCGTTGGGCGGTCCCACGGCGGTGCCGTGCCGGGCATCAAACGATTTCGGGCGGGTCGTGAAGGTGTCGTAGCGTTACCGCTGGCTGCCCAACGGTCGGAAACACGAATTTCTTTAAGCGTCCACCCCCGGCCGATGGCTGCAGCAATTTTGTACGTTGGCGTCTTCCCTCGTGCAACGTGTGTCTCCAGTCGCCGCGATCGTGACAGCCAAGTGCGTCCCCTCTCCTTCATGGCTGACCTGTGCCGCAGGCTGCCTTTGTTGCTGCTTGCCGTTGTACTGCTGCTTGCCGTTGTCGTCTTTCATATCTGCATCCTCGGTCGCGTCCCTGGGAGGAAACAGAGGCGGCGAACGACGAAGGCGACCGGGAAGATGGAGAAGGTGCAGACGAAGAGGACGACGTCCGTAGGGGCTGGCGGGTTGTCACATCAGCGTTGCAGCTCTGCGGAAGGCGGCAGGCGCCCGTACGACCCGACGCTGTACAGCCACCTGCCGTCCCACGAGATTCCATTGCCTCCGAGTGACGACGACAGCGACGAGCCCCGATCATCAATGGTTCCTCTGGGCAGCGGTTCGACACAGGATTGGATGGGGAGCCAGCTGTACAGACAGCCCTCAATGCCGACGTACACTGATCTGCTGGAGGGGCGGACCCCGGTTGGTTATGACGGAGGGCTCGTAGATCTCAGCTTCGGTTTGAGGTCTGGGAGTGGCCAGGACGTCACGCACACCGTTCTCGTGAACCCGGGTTCTGCCAGCAACCACACAGCGCCTTCGGTGGGGCCGTGTGGCCTTCCTGACACCCGCGGCCGGGGTTCTGGTCAGTCGGGCGACGAACGTGGACTCGTTTCGCGAGGGCGGGCGGCAATGGGCACAACAGGTGTTTGCGCGGAGGGGACGAGGACAGGTGGATCGACAACGGCAGGCGGCGCAGTCCACTGAGGAGGGGATGACGCTAACGGCTACGCTGCGGAGGTCGCGGGGCGAGAGGTTTGGGATGATTACCGGCGACAATCGCGTCAATCTAGCACGTCCACCATAACGAGAGGGGTGGCGAAGATCAATGTACGGGCGGACGACACACCCGGCGATTGCGACGGTGCGGGTGGTGAAGATTGCTCGGCAGGCGACAGGGGCAATGACAACGACGACGACGACGACGGGGAGATGGAGATTCGTCCGCTGGGGAAGAAACAGGGAGGGCCCAGGGCGACGAGCAAGTCCAGCGAGCCGCGCGCGGGGCGGAGAGGCAAGAAGACTGTGGGAGATGCGTCGGCAGGCGACGGAGCGAAAAGCAGGGATTTTTGGACCGTGGAACACATGATTGCTCTTGTCAGAGCTAAAAGAGACCAGGATTTGCATCTTGCTGGCCTCGGCCACAACATGGAAAGGATGAAGACGAAGACATGGAAGTGGGCCGACATCGAGAGCAGGCTCGTGCAGATGGGGGTGACGACTAGAAAGGGCGACGACTGCGGGAAAAAATGGGACAACATGTACATGCAGTTCAAAATTGTGCACAAGTTCATGGGAGAATCGGGGAAGCCTGATTTCTTCACACTGACGCCGCGGGAGAGAAAGGAGCGGGGGTTCGATTTTCGGATGGACGAGCGTGTGTATTCGGAGATGATGGCCATGTCCAAGGGCGATCACACTATACACCCCACGAATCTGGCGGACATGGGTGCGGCGGGAGGTGTTCAACTGCCAAGCCGGACTGGAGGTCGGAACGATTCAGGCGGTAGTGACGGATGCGGGGATGGGCAGGACGACGATCAGGGATCGACGCGGAATTCAAGTTTCAGTGGCGGTGCTGTGGACGGGTGCGGCAAAAGGAAGAATGTGAGACAACAGACCTTCGACACGATTGCGGACGTCATGAAGGACCACGGGAGTCTGATGGCGACGATGGTGGACAGCGCGAGCAAGAGGCAGTGCTCAATTCTGACTAGGCAATGCGACATTCTCGAGCGAGAGCTAGAAGTGCAGAAGGAACACTACGTGAAGGCCGACCAGGCGAACCTGTTGATGTGCAACGCCCTTATGGAGATTGCTAAAGCGATCCGCGAACAATCATGAAGTCGATGGGCCGCACATGTCCAACGTCCATGCGAATGCCTCGTGTGTGCTTCTGGATCGTCGGCGTTGCCCCCGTACTGTGTGCTGCTGTGCGGTGGTGGGCATGTTGTTTACAGAGGACGGCTCGTTTCTGCAGGCGGTTTCCATTGCAAGAGTCGACTTTTTTGATTAGTTTGAAGGGTGTTGATTGCTGTCATGCCCGTCGGCGCGTCAGTCGGTTTCAAATTACGACGCCCGATTATTGTTCAATGCTTGTTGACGTGACGCGTTGCAGCCA